AGAGAGAGAGAGAGAGAGAGAGAGAGAGAGAAAGAAAGAGAAAAAGAAAGAAAGAAAGAGAAAAAGGAAAGAAGGAAATTCTGACATGTGCTACAACCATGAACTTTAAGGACATTATGCTAAGTGAAGTAAGCCAGTCACAACAAAATACTGTACAATTCCAGTTATTTGTGGTGCCTAGAGTAGTCAAATTCATAGAGACAGAAAGTAGAATGATGGTTAAGAGAGACTGGGGGAAGGGGACCATGAGGTGGTGTTAAATGGATACGAAACTTCCTTTTGTAAAGATGAAAAAAGTCCTGTAGATGGATGGTGATGATGGTTGCACAACAGTGTGGGTATATTTAATGCCACTGTCCTGTACACTTAAAAATGGTTAAAACGGTAACTTTAATATTACGTATCTTTTACCACACACACACAAAATGCTGATGCTTATTACCAGATTATCCTCCAGAAAATAGGTTCGCATCCCTAAGCACTAGCACAGATCATTACCAATCTTTTTTACTCTTTGCCAGTTTCATAGGTAGAAGTCACCCAAATGATCAGTTTAACGATCTCCAGACCACCGGTTTAAAACATGTCGGCATTAATTCTCAACGGAGCAAAACGCTGTGAGAGAAAAGTTGTAAAGTCATTTTCATTCCAATTCTTAATACTGTAAATGGAAGTTTAGCGGTAGTCCTCTGACTTTTTGCATAAATATGTGAAGGCAAAAAAAAACACAAAAAAAAACTCACTATGGAAAGTACAGTGCGGACTTGCAATATTGTTTTAATATCTCGGTAAATCTATGACTCAGAAATAGCCGCCAGGGAGGAGGGGATACAGCAAGAACCTCAAGCTCAGAGCTACGCTCCGGTCGCTCGGGTCCCTGAGGAGGAAGGGGCGGGACCCACGGTGGTACGCATGCGTGCGGCTTCTTGGCCGGGGAGTGGCCGCTCTAGGCAGTGGGGAGGTCGCGGGGTTGAGGGGGCTGGGAAACAAGTGCGACCTCTCCTCTATGGTCCGGAGCCCGGGGCACCTTCCTTGGCAGTCTTAGGTTACTTCCGGAAGTGAAGCTGCCACCTCCTCCTCGACTTCCGCGGGGTCCAGGCCGGGTTGGCTGCCGGGTGGGCCCCAGGATGAGCGCAGTGGTAAGCAGTCGCGCGGCGGATGATAGTGAGGGGCGACCTGGGCTCGATTTGGGGGCGGGGTGTGGAGGACAGGCGTGAGGTTCGAGATCCGAGGAGGCGCGTGGGGCTTTCCTTATCCAGGCCCGGGTCCTGAGCAACCGCAGTCCTGGCCTCGAGACGCGAGCCCCTGCTTGGCCAACTTCCCCATCCCTTCCCTAGAGCCCTACATCGGCACGGCGAGTCGCTGGGCCTCGCCTGTGTCCCCTCGAGGGTCAGCGTCAGCCTACCGCTCCAGGATTTCCCCAGGGCGAGAGGGAGGGGGCGTCGCTTCCACACACCTTGTAGGGGGACGACGGGCGCCCATCCCCGAGGAGCACCAGCCTCAGCCTGCGACAGTGCGTTCAGAATTGATCAGGCTCCTGAGAAATGCCGGGCTGGGCTTCAGATCTAATTGGCGAGGCACTATCTGCTACAAAACGGAACGATTGCTCCCGTTTTAAAGAAGGATAACGGACGCGCAGAAAGGCGAAAGTGAAACCGCACAGTCACATTGGGGATAGGCTAGAACCAGCTCTGGGATTCCGAGTTTACGGGCAGAAATCTGAACTTGTGCAAAGGGAATTTTCTTTAAAAAATAAAACGGCAAATGAGAGTCAGGCTGTGGGTCTAACTGGGAGTCTTTGGCAGGGCAAGAGGCTACCCTCTCAGTGCCCTAGGCGGCTGCCCTCCTACTTTGGTGGAGAGAAGCGAGCCCAGAGGCTGCCGTGTCCTCAAATGTCGCCAATGGGTCTCCCCGCGGAACCCCATTGGTTGGTCCATTGGGGGGTGGCCTTTATGTCACGCTTTGGAAGGCCAATAGGGAGGAGGTTTACTCTCCCCTCCACCCCCCCAGGCACACCCCGGAGTGAATTGTTTGGTTTGGTTTTGTTATGGTTGTTTTATAAACAAACATTTAGGGTGTATGATGCACTCTGCATTTCCTGTCTATCTTCATAAACTTGATTAAAAAACTGCTTCTCCAGGGCAGTTCTTTTTTCTTTCTTTTTTTTAAGCTCAGTGCTTGCAGGCACTACTTACATAGCTGGCACTCAGTAAATACAACTATTAATTATTTTAATAATACCTATCAACCATAGAGTAAACTCTTTTTGAGTATCTATGGTTAGAAGTTATCACTTAAACCTCCTTCAGAGTAGATATTATTATCCTGAACTTATAAATGGGAAATAAATGTGACCTGCTTTGGAACCCAGGTATCTCTCATTCTGAAGACTACTGACTCAACTATACCAGCTTCTCCAGGGAAATTATAATCTATGAGATGAGGAAACATGCACAAATAAAAGTTATGCTAATGCACACAGGCAGGAAGGATTAATTTGGGTGTGGGGGGCAGTTAGTCATTAGAGAGGTTCAAATGAAAGTTAATTTGGGTCTTGTCAGCTGGACAGTTTTGACCCAGAGATGGTTTGGAGCTGTGTTACAGATGGAGGGAACAGAGTGATATGGAAAAGTGAGCAAGAAGCGGGAATTAATATGTGAGACTAGAGTATGAATAGGTGAATAATAGGGAATAGTCACAATAATAATAAATTGCACTGTGTTCCAGGCACTCTTTTCAGTGCTGTGGACATTTTAATTCCTTTCATCAACAACCCTATCAGGAAGATACTATAAAGATCTCCATTTTATAGATGAGGAAACAGGAACAAAGGTTAAGTGATTTGCCTGAGGTCACACAACTAATAATTGGTGGAACTTGAACTCAGTCATTCTGGCTCTAGAATTTGTGCTTTTACTTTAAAAGTTGTGGCCTAGGTTAGAGCATCAGCGCGCAGACTGAAGGGTCTCAGGTTCGATTGTGGCCAAAGGCACGTACCCCAATTACAGGCTCAATCCCTAGCCCCAGTCGGGCAGATTGCGGGAGGCAACCAGTTTATGTGTCTCTCTCACATCAATGTTTCTCTCTCTCCCTCTCTCCCCCTTCCGCTCTCTCTGAAAAGCAATGGAAAAAATATCCTCAGGTGAGGATTAAAAAAAAAAAAACAGTTGTGTTGGTTGATAGCAGGCCATAGAGATGCTTAAATGACAAGCTTACAACTATAGGTTTTAATTTCTCATAGTTGGGAAGGTCTTGAGCAAAGGAAGGGCTTGATCAGAATTGTGTTCCAGAAGGATGGTTTGGGCAGTGGTGAGAGAAGGGACTGGAGAGAAGGGCAAATGAGATTAGTAGTGTTACCAAGCTTTGTTTTGTTCACACCTTACCCATACGTTGTCTGAAACATATATTTAGGGCATATAACTGTTTATTTGTACAGGCATACCTCAGAAATACTGCAGGTTAGGTTTTGGTTCAAGGCCACATCAATAAAGCTAGTATCACAGTAAAGGAAGTTGTAATCTTTTTGCTAGTGGAGGGTCCTGCCTTCAATCTGTATAAACACAACATCTGTGAAGTGCAAAAATCGAAGCACAATTTAAAGTGAGATGTGCTGCCTGGCTGGGCGTAGCTTAGCAGTTGAGCATTGACCTAGGATCCAGGAGATCACAGTTAAATTCCAGGTCAGGGCACATGCCTGGGTTGTGGGCTCAATTCCCAGTCGGGGGCTTGCAGGAGGCAGCCAATCAATGACGACTCTCTCATCATTGTTGTTTCTATCTCTCTCTGTCCCTCTCTCTTCCTCTCTCTGAAATCAATAAAGATATATTTTAAAAAATAAATAAAAAATAAATAAAATGAGATGTGCCTAAATGGAACAAGCTGTCTAGTTCCCAAACTTCATGTGCATAACAGTATCCTGAGGGGCTTATTTAACATGCACGTTCCTGGACCTCTCTCCCAGATACCTTTGGTGATACCTTCTTTCCAACTATCACCAAACTTCCCAGGTGATTCTGATGGAGGCTCTAAGAAATTACTGTGATAGGGAGTCAAATTTTTGTTGATTTGATTTTCATTTACTAGGAATGAAAATCTAGAGCCTAGCTTTGTGCCAGCAACTCTCAGGTATGATGATAGAATTTTATGGGTTGATTTCTGACCTCAGGGAGCTCAGGATTTGGTCGGAGAGGCAAAGACTACTCAGATAGTAACGTGCAAAAAGTATAAGAGCAAAGTAAACCTGAAAAGGATATGTCCCTTTATAATGTGTGAATCATAATAGAATCGTTTAAAAAACAACATTAAGGTATGGTTTACTGGTACCTACCAGTAGCTTTAGATGACTTTTTGAATTATTAGATATCTACATCATTTAATATAGGATAGGTCATTGAATATATGCCACGAAAGAGGACAGTCTCTAGAGAGAGCCAGGACACCCTTCTCAGTGTGCTCTCTTGCCCAACACCACTCACTGGCAGTAAATCACAAGGCCTCAAAGTTCAGGCAGCAAGTCAACATCCAGTGAGCTAGCTACCTTTGTCCTAGTGATTTCTAACCTCGTCCAGAAAGAAAGTCTGTCTGTTTGGAGTTGGTAAAACACGAGGTTTTGTACGGTAAGAGCCTGGAAATGCTTCTTATATTAATGAAAGCCAGTTTTTGCCACCTGCCAGAAGTGCATGTAAGTCTCTTTTATTGCCATTGCTGACCTTTGCCTTGCTTACATTTGGGCACACATTTTTTATTTCGTAGTCACTAGAAATGCGTGGTCACTCTTTGAACATTTACTAATGTCTATAGTATTCTGCCAGTGGTTATAGTGGTATCCCCAAAGGTGGACTTGGGGTGTTCCCAGCCACCCTCACCCCTATTTCTTTTTTTCTTTTTTTAAGAATTTTTTTATTGATTTTTAGAGGGAGAGGAAGGGAGGGGGAGAGAGACAGAAACGTTAATGTGAGAACAAAACATCAATTGTCTGCCTCCTGCACACCCCTGACCTGGGACCAAGCCCACAACCGGGACATGTGCCCTGGCCGGGAATCAAACAGGCAACCTTTCGGTGCATAGGACAACACCCAACCAACTGACCCAGACCAGGGCCTCACCCCTGTTTCTGTTGTGAATGTTTCTGCTTCTTTATCTCATGGAACAGCATACTCACCTTAGCAGTCACACGTGGGAGTTCATATTTTCAAAATGCAGTGTTGTTAGATTCTAGTTTGTTTTCTCTAGTTTGGATTTCTCAGCTTTTCAGTAGCAGCTCTGTGACGTGGCCTAGATGATAAAGGAGTGTATCAGTCCTTTGTACTGGTTATTGTTATTGATTACATTATTAATGTAGTGTTGTGAGGACAGACTTTAAGTCAGACCAGGATTTGGACCTCCATTTTCTCATCTGTAAAATGGAGATGATAGTAATAATTATCCCATAGGATTGTTATGCCTTTCGCATTATAAGGGCTCAGTAAATATTAGCAATTGGCAATATTCTCTTTTGTCAGGTAATATGTAATGAGATGAAATGGTCTAATTAGAGGCCCATATGAAGCCAAAATCTTTTTATTCTTGTAGTGAACATCTTTGCTAAGACATGACTGAGATCATAATTGTCAGGCTGGAATCCCTATAATGTTGCCCTTCAAAGGATTATTCCTAAAATATCAGGTATGTACTATAGTCACAGTAAGCATCTTGTTGAATGAAGAGGTAGAACCATAATTATATACCACTGAACAAAGCAGTTTAAAGATTATCATCTCTAAGAGTTAACAATCATTACATAATGAATCTTTATAAGCTTAGGTGTAGAAATTCTTAAACTCAGAATTAATGCATTCTTCTTTGATAAACTCAATAAAAATGATTGTATTAATTGACTTTAAGTGTTAGTTGGGTGACTAAATCAAACAGGTAACAGCATAGGAACCATGAGATAGTAGCCCTCTGGATAAATCCATAGATAAGTACTTGACCGGGTCAGAGAACTTTGCTTCCAAGGGAGGAACTTGGCTAAGTTAATTCCAAGTTCCTTACTTACATAGAATTAATTATTGGGAGATTGTTTTGTGTCTCAGCCCCCCCCCCCCTTTTTTTGTCATTTAGGTATTTCTTTGGAAAAACATAAGGGTTATGGTGATAG